TACCAGATAATGAAAATCACTTTAGCAGGTATGTGAAAGATAGATTGGAGTGGAGACCAATTAAGAAGCTATTTTTCTAGTCTAGGCAAGAGAAGTGATGAGGGCTTGAACCAGGGCAGTGACCTTATGAGTGCCAGAAGGGATGTATATGAGAGATGTTGGGGAGGCAGAATTGACAAGATCCTTTGACTGATTGAATATGGGGTATTAATGTTAGTAAGGATAACACCAAGGGTATAAACCTGAGTGCCTACAAGGATGATGATTCCCTCTACAGAAGTAGGGAAGTTCCAAAGAGGAGTGAGTTTGGGGAGAAAGGTAATAAATTTTATTTTGGACAAGTAGAGTTTGAGATACCTACAGGATATCCAGTTTGAATTGTTCAACGAGTATCTAGTGATGAGGGCCTGGAGCTCAGGAGCAACATGAAGGCTGGATATGTAGATTTGGGAACCATCTACATAGAGCTGATTATTAAAATCAAGGGAGCTGATGAGGTCATCAAGTAGAAGAGTATAGAGACAAAAGAGAATGGTACCCAGGACAGAACCTTGGCGTACACCTGCAGTTAGAGGACATGATATGGACAATGACCCATCGAAAGAGACAGGAGCGGTCAGATAGACATTATCCCCATTTTATAGATGAGAAAAATGAGACTCAAAGAAATTGTGATTTTTTTTTCCAGAAACCATGTAGCTAACAAGTATCAGGGTTAGGTCTAACTACAAGTCCATCTCTTTTTTTTTTTTACTACTACGCTGGCTCTGAAACATCTATTTCTTCTGCTTGCTTCCCTCTTCATACTCCACAGGACAGAATCTTGGCATCTAAAAGTCTCTTCCCCATACATGCTAATGCCAGTGGGCATTTGCCTGAAGTCAAGACTAGGAAAATAGGCCCCTTACAGGAGGCAATATTCAGGTCACAATTTAGTTACACCAAGAGTGTCTGGAGGTTCTACATATCCCCATCCCCTAATCTACCTGTAATAAAAGGCATCTGTGAGAACCCTGCCTGAATTCCTCCTCATCCCCTCATGCCCCACCCTGGGTCCTTCTCATCTTTGGACCTGATGACCTTCACTATTCCCAGGAGATTGGACACTTTTTGAGGTCAGGAACACTTTCACTTCTTTCTGTCTCCAGCACCTAGCAAAGAGCCTAACACATAATAAGCACTTAATAAATGATTGTTGATTGACTGATTACTTGGTAATCTGTGCAGACCCTCTGGTGCAAAGTCCCAGTCACTCCCCAGAGTAAATTCACATGCTGAGGGCTCTAGGCAGTGAGTGGCATTTTTAGTATGAAATAAGGGTCTCCTTTCAAATGTGGACATGAATGTTCTGTGAAACCCCCTCTGGGTCCTTCTCGGCAAGGCAGAGACTCAAACAGTGCTGCTTCCCTCCTGAAGGCCCCATCTATCCCCATGTCCCTCTGGGGAGACATGGCTGTGCCAGGACAAATGAAATGAGGTTTTCCCCCAACAAACATAGGAGTGAGAGGAAAGGGCCCCACTTTGGCTTCTGAGTAAACAAGATTTTTCCTGGACATAATGAATGTCAGCCATCTAATCCAGAGCTCATTCCACAACCAAGCTGGTGGGATTTCTTAAAGGCCAGAGGAGAGAGTTTCTGTTTGTTTTCACTTCTACAAGGAGGGAAAAATCAATTTACTTACTCTCTAGTGGAGCCAAAGAATTGATCTTCCAAGTGGGGGATCCTTCTAGGCCTTGAGAGATGAGAATTCCCCTTCCTGTGTTACACCAGACAAAAGAAATCTGGAGACGCCTGTTCCAGTTTCACCACTTGCCTTTAAAGCTAAGTCCTTGGAGCTACGTGTGTGTAGCTGCTGTTCTTGGATTCTTCCCTATTTCTCTTCATTTCCCACTCTATGACTCGTGAAATAATTCTGTGGTTTTATAAATTACTCTGTTGTACTCCTGACTCCCTGCTCCTTCTGACTGCCCACCCTGTGCATCTGGACAGATGGTCTTTCCCCACCTCGGTCATGGATTTCTCTCTAGAGAGCAGCACGTGTTTAATCGCCGTATCCTCAAGGTAGCCTTGGAGTGAGTGTGGGGAATCTCTTGCCTCCTGTTTGCCGTTCCTGCCTTTCTGATTGCCTCTCCTGACTCAGCCAAACCTCCATTAACCAGAGAGCAGGAGGAGGGGGGTATTCTGAGGGCTACAGGGCAAAATAGAAACCCCCTTACACTTGAGCCTTCTTTGCTCAATATCATCCTGGAAAGCCTTACAACATTGGATCTGTGATTTCACCAATCCAGGGACCTCCTTTGTGAAGAAACCTCCTCTGCAACTTAGAATCTGAGAAATTTGTCTGAGAAGCTACGTGACTTATTCAGGGTCACATAATCAATATACGTAAGAGGGCTGGCTTGAACCTAAGTCTTCCTGGCTTGAGCCTAGCTCCTTATCTACCCTAGCATTCTGTGTCTCAAGAGGAATAAAAGCCTGGGCAGCGTAATAGAATCATTCTCTGATAACTAGGCTCTTTTATCATCTTAGGCTCATCACCCCATTCCATTCAAATCAATTCCACAGGCATTCTGGTACCTATGTTCAAGGATCTGGGAAAAAATTGTTCACATTACTGTAGAACTGAAGCGCTTACCTCACAACAACCCTGTGAGGAAGGAAAAGAGATGAGACTTACTTGGGGTCATTCACGGCTAGTAAGTGGGCAAGCCAGCAATGCTCGGGACTCCCAAGCGCAGGGCTCTCTGTTCTCAGATATCTGGCCCTATAGAACAAGGTTATATGTAACATCATTGGCCCTAGAACTGGAAGGGAACAGAAAAGTCATTTAGTTCAATCCCCTTTGCTTATTTTAGAGATGAGGAAACAAGGCCCAGAGAGGAGAAGGGACTTGCCTAAAGTCACAAATAAATAACACATCTATAATTCAAACTCAAAATCCAATGCTCTTTGGGGATAGAAGATTGGAAGGAGCATAACAGATCCAAGGGCAGCCTTTAGTCATGTCTTCCCTCTTGGCTTCAGCGTTCTCTTTTGTGAAATGAAGGGGCTGAAACAGAGAGATAATCTCTATGCTCTCTTCCAATTCTAAAGTCCATAGTTCCACATATCTGTAGATCTGGAGGCCTAGAAATCACAGTGTAAAGAAAAGATCACAGGACTGGCAGTCAGGGGACATGGGTTAGAGTCCTGGCTTTGTCATTTACTCCTTCTGTGACCCCACGCAAGTGATTTCTCCTCCTCAAGGACTCAGTTTCCCCATTTGTGAAATAAGGAGGTAAGATGACACTCTCAAAGCTCCCTTGCCACACTCAATCCTATGGTTCTATAAAATGGTTACTGAGAAAGTTCTTGACCTCAGTACCCTTTTTTGTGGTTTCCCTCTTCCTCCTAAAAGCACAGTGGTTGGGTTGAGGATGAGGACAGGGATAGTTCAGATGGGGAGCAAGGAAGAGGAAGAGCCACCCAGGGATGTGAGAATTATACTCAGTCAGGTTCTGGTTAATTGAAGTTTGGCTGCCACACTGGGTCTTGTGTTCTGCTTGCTGCATGAGAAAGGAACCCTTCCCATCCTTGCATCATCTGGAAAAAATGACAGGATTTCCAAATGGTCCCCATAGTGAGGACTGAACAGTGGGGGACAAACTGAGAGTTGCCCAGTTTTAAACAGATTTAATTCCAGTTCTGCCGGGTCAGGCAGACTCAGGCAGATGACCTGTCCAGATGTTGTCAGAAGATTCCTGAGGATAATAGCAGTAGCTCCCATGTCACGCAAGCCTTAAGGCCTATAGACACTCTGCCCATCATCCCAGCCTATCCAGAGCTCCCATGAAGGAGAGTGATGGGCAACGGTCTGCCTTGCTCACCCACCAGGCCATGAAAGGCTTAAAGGGTTGACCATGTGTTGGGCCAAGCTCTGCCCCAGCTTCAGGGCCTGATGGGCCTTATCCGTCTCTTATTGCCCTGCTTTTAAACCCCTGGATGTCAAACTCCTCTGCAGGCTGGAGCCCCATTACACAGACACCTGCCAGGACTCTATGTTGGGAAGTATCTGTGTTTCCCCATTAGCTCTTCATTGCAATCTCTACTTGGGAAATGCCTCACTGTGTAGCCTCTAACTCTTGGAAGGCAGAGGGAACTGGCAGAGTATTGCCTTCCTCAGGCAAAGCAGGTGGAATATCTAACAGTGCTGATGCTCCTCCCCACCCCCACCCCCACCTCCTGGGAACCATCAGGACGCCTGGAAACAAGACACATAGAGAAAAGAGCACTGACTTGAAATCATTCAGATCCTGAATCTTTGACTACCTTTGTGACCTTAGAAAAATCATGATTTTCCCTGGACCTGTTGGGATTTCAGTTTCCTCATCTATATAATAAAATGGTTGGATCACACGGCCTCTGAGGTCCCTCCTACCTTTAAATCTATGATCCTATGATCTAGCCACATGATTAAACTCTAGCTAACTTTATATTTATATTCCTCCATTGAACCTGGCAGCTCTTTCAGAACACTCTCCTCTCTGCCTAATTTTTGCTTCCTAATCCCTCCCTTGCATGTTCCTGGTCCTTTTGTTCCAACACCTGGATGTTCTTGGGGATTCTAAGGATCCTATCAGGATCTCCTGCCAGGGGCTCCTGTCCTGGGAAACTGTGCTGTCTTGTGAGTGGCTTTATTTCAACAGGGAATGTGGGAGAAAAGGGGCCACCGGCTCTTCTTCCCCAAGATCCCTTCATCCAGATGGATGAGGTTCAGAAAATGTGACACAGGTCCAAACACCTCCTTTCTTTGGAAGGAAGCCTCCTCTCCTTCCCCCATGTCAACCTCTGAGGCACTTCTGAGCCCCATCCAGCAGGGGAAATGTGGGCGGATGCCCTAGAGGGATGATGGATGAGTGAGTGCCCACATTCCCACGTGGACTTGATATGTGTGCTCGATGCTGCCTTCTCAATGCCACCTCTACACACAGTTGTGATAAGAGCCATGAATATCTTGCAGGGAGATCGAGGTCAAGATGGAGCTGCTGGTCCACCTGGGCCCCCAGGTCCCCCTGGAGCCAGAGGGCCCCCAGGAGATACAGGAAAAGATGGCCCTCGAGGACTGCAAGGCCCTGATGTAAGAAAAAAGCTGAAGCCTAATGGGAATTCAATTCCTAATCTCGACCCTAACCTGAAACCCTGGTCTAACCTGTATTCAACCCCTAAACTCTCCCTACTCTGAATTTTATCCCAAACCCTAATCTTCAACCCAATATCTAATCCCAAACTTAATTTTATCTCAGTCCCAACCCCTGAACCTGCATCTGCAGCCCTTCAATGGTGTAGAAACAACTGAACCCTAGCACCTGATTAGCAAGACTCTGGTATGAAGGGGCCAGATAGCTACTGCCCTTGGTGGCTGCATCCCAGACAAGCTCCTCCCTCAATGTGTGAATTGCCTTGCGATCAATTATTGCTAGTATACCCCTGGTCCTAATATTGTATCGTTTGCCTTTTCCAGCCTTAGAGAGTGCTTCTGGAACCCCCTACCTCTGCAGCAAGCTAGGCAGGGCTCCCCCCAAAGAACTGCCTCATTGAATACAAGGAGTTGGGGGGAAGAGCTTGAGGGACTAGCATGGTAACATCTATCCTGAGCAAGGGGAGAGCTGCTCTGTCCTGACACTGTCATTGGGCCAGTAACTCTGGTAGATTAACATATTCATAAACCTTGTGTCTCCCTAGGGTCTAAAAGGAGAGCCAGGACCAGGAGGTGTGATGGTCAGTACCCAGAAGCTGATATTTCAGGGGGCATTGACCACGTCCACCATAGCTTTGCACGTGTGATGTAACTCAAAGCCAAAAGTAACAGACTGTGCATGCTGTCTTAGGATTCAGTGGTCTAGAGAACAGCCCCACAACCCAGGCATCCTGAAATGGAGGAGAGCAAGAGTGTGCACACAGGATGTTTGTGGTTGTGTGTGTGTGTGTGTGTGTGTGTGTGTGTGTGGTGTGTGTGTGTATGTGTGTGTGTGTTTGTATGTGTGTGTGTATTATCTGCATGTGTGTTGTGTGTGTTTGTATGTGTGTGTGTTTGTGTGTGTGTGTGTGTGTGTGGTGTGTGTGTATTATCTGCATGTGTGCGTGTCTGATGTTAAATGTGTATGCGGGAGGTATGTCTATATGGCTAGCATTGTGTATTTGTGGATCTCAGAGTAGCAAGGTGTAACATATATGTGTGGTGGGTGCTGTGATGTTTGGGGGGATGAAGTTGTTTGTAGGATGTGAGACATTGGTGAGGTGTGTAATGTACATTCTGTGTCAATCATAAGGTGCTAGGTAGGCAAGTTTTGTGTGTAATGTTCAAGAAGAGGAGAGCTGTGTGTGTGAGTAGGTGTGGATGTGTGAGTATGGCTGGTAGCAAGGGCCTTATGGTCCATAGAAATGGGTCCCTGAGTATCCTGACACATGACCCCAGCTGACTTTATATGTCAGTACCCAGAAGATAATTTTCTAAAACATCCCAAACCTCTGACAGTAGTACTTCCCCCACCTCCTTTCCTTGGGACTGGACACCTACGTTGGTGCTTCGCATCAATAGATACCCCTACTTCCACCTTGCCACCATAAGGACCATCCTCTCCAGTGGGCAGTGCCCCCTACCTTCCCTAGCTCTACACACCCCACATGCATCCTTCAACTGGGGTCAGCATCAGACGTGCTCTGGCTCCCTAAGACCACACAGTATATATCTCCTACCTCACAACTGCCCACTGTCTTGGATGCCAGTCCTTTCATCTTTACTTATATTTCCTGTATTCAGAAAATTCCTTCCTCCCCACCCCCACCCCAGGGCTAAACATTAGCTCAGAAATGTTGGCAATGCCCACTCCAGCCCTCCTGACCCTCACTTATTCTGCTGTTGAGTGGGTCTCTGGCAGTGCCCATGAGCACCTCCTGCCTACCACAGCACTGACAAGCCTATTGGGATATGCCCCCTTCCTCCTGCCCCTTAAAATGTCTTCCTAGTAGGACTTAACCTAAACCACAGTTGCTTTTCTTCTGTGACAGGGCCCAAAAGGACCTCCAGGACTCAAGGTAAGAGCTGAATCACCACTAGTCAGTCTGGCTGTAACAAACCAAACAAGGGGGTCTTAAACTGTAGTCCACTGACCACCAAGGGGCTGTGGATAGATTCTAGGGGGTCTGTGGACTTAGACTTTATTTACAAAAAAAAAACCTTTATTTACACTAACATCTAACTGAAATTTAGCATTTCCTTCTATTATGAAATATATATGTGTATGTATACATAATTATGAATATATATACATATACATATTTACACATACATACATATATATATATATATATATATATATATATATATATATACATATATATAAAATTCTGAGAAGGGGTCCGTCGGCTTTCCTAGGTTACCAAAAGACTCCATGACAGAAAAAAAGCTCAGAACCCCTGCTCTAAATCTCCTTGGTTGACATTTTAGGGTTTTCAGTTGCTTGAAATACTCACCTCTGGTGAAAACATCTATTTTCTTCCTAAGTCAATTTGCTTCAAATTTGCATTCATTTAAATTTAGTTGGATGAGCCATGATCTACTGTAGAAATGAGTACTCTTCCCTCTTGAGAGAAAGTGATGTCATTCATTCATTCAACAAACATTTAGTGAGCACGTACTATGTAGAGGCAGTCAGGTGATGGACCAGGAGTAACAAACACCCGAGTTCAAATTTGGCTTCAAACATTTACTATTTGTATGACACTGGGTAAGGAACTTAACTGCTCTATAACTCAGTTTCCTCATTTGTAAAGTGAGGATGATATAGCACTCACTTCCCAGGATTGTTATGAGGATAAAATGAGGTAATATTAGCAAAGTGCTTTGTAAACCTTAAAACACCATATAAATGCTAATAATAATAATGATAATAACATTACAAGGCCCAATGCTAGACACCGAGAGAGAGACAAAGAACGAAGGAGACACAATCCCTGCCCTCCAAATACTCACAGCATCCCTGACACCTCCCACCCGTCCTAGCACACAGTAGGAGCTTAATAAATGAGTGTTGATTGGTTGCTATGACATGGCTGCATATAGCAACAATGCAAACTTGAATGTGATAAATATGTAAGGGAGACATGAACAAAGCACCATGTGCATCCAAAGGAGAAAAAGAGAGAGACCTTCTCTGGGATGGTTGATGGAGGTGACATTTGAGCTAGGCTTTGAAAGATACATAGGATTTCCCAGAATCACAAAATCTCAGAGTTTGAAAAAGATAGGTAGTTCGGCCTCTACCTGTAACTTTAAATGGAGTAGATTCTGTATGAATACCTATATTTGCTGTATCTCCTACAAGAGGAAAGCCAGCTTTCACTTAAGGATCAGGTACAAAAGAAAGGCCTCTGGCTCAGGGGTCAAAGGATCTAAGTGTAATTCCTGTCTCTGTCATTCATCTTCTGGGTCACTTTGGTCAAATCCCTCAACCTCTCCCTGAGCCTCATTTTCCTCACATGTAAAATGTGGGAGTGGGATTGGATGGCATCTGAGAGCCCATCGAGTTCTAAGCCGTCTCTCTGGTAAAGAGAGTCCCAGGAAATCCTGAGGCAGTCCATTCCTCTTTTGGAAAGCTCAGATTGTTAGGAAGTTTTTCCTTATATCAAATCAAAATCTGCCTCTGGGCAATTTCCATCCATAGTTTCCAGTTCTGCCCTTTGCGGGCCATGCAGAACAAACCAAATCCTTCTTCTTGTTGAAAGCCCTTAAAATACATGAAAGTGGGCAGCTAGGTGGCGCAGTAGATAGAGCACCGGCCCTGAAGTCAGGAGGACCTGAGTTCAAATCCAGCCTCAGACCAAACACTTGACACTTGCTACCTGTATGACCCTGGGCAAGTCACTTAACCCAAATTTCCTAAAAACAAACAAACAAACAAACAAAAAAGATACATGAAAAGATACATAATTCTCCTCTCCTCTGTGTTAAGCCTCCCCTGGGCCTTTATCTGATCCAAATACTGCAGGAGGGATCTCAAGGTCCCTCACTCATGTGGTCACATTCCTCTGGTTTCCCCCAGTTTATCAATGCCCTCCCTAAAATAGGGCTCTCACCAGACTGCCAAAAGGAGTCCACAATACCCAAAAAAAAAAAAGTATAAGAATTTCTGCTTTATAGCATTTAGATACATGAAGGCAGTTTTTACCCTTCCTCTCCATTTCCAGTTTAAAGCCCTTTTGATCAGATTTTAATTGAACAGACATGATGGGAGGGAAATTTTACCTGCAAGTAACAGCCTCCCCTCCCTTCTCTGAATAATCATGATTCTTTGTTCATGTATCTCTTACATATTAATTATGTAATTGGCTTCTCCTATCCATATTTTATCTCCCATTCTAGATTGAAAGCATCCTGAGGGCAAGACTCATGTCCTCCTCTTTGTTGCCACCTCATTGCTCAGCATAAGGCCTTGCACATAATCACAATACACATTTGACAAGTGAATAAATGAACTCATCGATTAATTAAAGTCCTTTTGTCCCACAAGGGAATGCTACTCATTTCTGTGGCTTTAGAAGTCATAAACTAGACTCGCATGTAATTGGTGCTCAGTACATGTTTGATGAATGAATAAATGAATTCATTCATTCATTACATTCTTTTGTGCCACACTTGAAAAGTGGCTTTAGAAGTCTGTAAACTGGACTTTAGGCTCCTGTCATCATGGGTGTGGGGAAGAAAGAAGTGGGGGCAGAAAAGTTCTTGTCATGTATGAGGGACAATGGGTTGTCCAGTTGGGCTGAAGTACCCGGAACTTGAAGAGAAGAAGAGATAAAGCTAGAAGAGATGGAGGTAGGACCAGAGTTTGAGATATTTTAATTGGATAAAAATGTTATGATTCTGCTCTGATCTCTAACTGTTCCCTTTTCCTGTTGTCTCTGTCTAAGGGTGAACCTGGCATGCCAGGAAGAAAGGTAAATAAAGAGCTCATCTCACAGCATGAATGTCAGGTCTGCTTCCTTCCTAGGGAGCTGAGGACCATTTGGGTTGGGGAGGAAACAGGCCTCTGGGCACTGTGTGCCCAGCACGGAGGGTGAGGAGGGGAATGACAGCACATAGAGTCCCTCTCATGAAAATCAAGTCAGGTCAAAAGGACCCCTCTAAGCCGTTTCCCTTCCAATTAAACTTTAAGAGCAAAGCCATTGTCCTTGGCAGGGTGATGAGGTGGGGGAGACAGACAGACAAGGATTTAAAGACCTCCTGTTCTTCAGATTGGCCTTTCTTGCATGTAAGGAGAGCTAAAGTCTTGAGGCTTCAGAGTCCAGGCTTGACAGGACAAGCAGGGTAGGAGAGTAGAAAAAGGGATTGATTTAGAGGCTGGGACCTGGGTTCCAGTCTTGGCTCTCCTGCTTACTAGATGCTTAACCTTATGACTGCCACATCTCTCTGGGCCTCAATTTCCTGATCTACAAAATAGGAATAATAATACCTATAATATATTAATAATACCCATAATAATAATGAGAATAATAATGAAGTAGGTGCTGCCTACTTCAGATAGTTGTAAAGCTCAACTGAGATGTTAGTATATAAAAATTATTGGGGCAGTGGTTAGAGTACCAGGCCTGGAGTTTGGAAGATCTGAGTTCAAATCTGGCCTCAGACATTTATTAGCTGTGTAACCCTGGGCAAGTCACTTAACTCCTATTTGCCTCAGTTCCTCATCTGTAAAATGGGGACACAGTAGAGAAGGAAATGGCAAAATCACTCCAGTATCTTTACCAAGAAAACCCCATGGACTAACCCATGGGGTCATGATGAGTCGGACACAACTGAAAGACTGAACACTGTAAAAATCATTAATCATTCAAAGTTTGAGGATTTTTCATGGAAGAAACGTCACAGATTCACTCCATTGTCCAGAATAACCTCTCCCTCTACTTAGAGTTAGCAAACCAGGACTCAGGAAGGCGTCTGAGGGATCCTCTTGGTACATAGCCTTGTCTCAAGGTGAACCAAGGAAGCTACTCTAAAGGGGTCGCCTGAGAAATAGAAATATCACAGATGGGCCCAGGGCGGGGGTGGGGTAGGAGGCACTTGCCTCAGGCTCAGGTTGTGGACTGAAGCTCATGTTTCCTCAGGGAGATGATGGACAGCCAGGACAACCAGGACTCCAGGGATCCATTGGGCCAAAGGTACAACTCCTCTCCTACTTGAAATATCTGCCTCCTCCTGTCCATCTTCTCTCCAAGCTCCTAGCAATCTGAGAAAAATCTCTCCTAGTGAAGCTACTGAGAGATTCCCCCTTTTCACCATCCTTTCCCCCAGGCTATGAGGGACTCAGTGTGGACCAGGAATGGCCATGGTGTCATTCTTCAAAACTAAGCAGATCTCCAGTTATCTCATTCTCACCCACAGAAAGCCAAGGTATTACTCAGAACCCAGTGGCTTACACCAGTCCCTCCATTAGGCATGTACACACCCCTCCCCTCATCTTCCTAAATGAAAGGAGGGAGGGAGGGAAAGAAAGACAAAAGGAAGGAAAGAGAGAGAGAAAGAGAGAAGGAAAACTTCAGGCTAAAAAAAGCCTATTATTATTATAATCCATAGTCTCCTAGGCTATAAACTCATAAGGCAAGGGGAGAGCCTTATCCTCTTTGAATGCTATAACTCTCCAGCTGAGCATCCTGGCTTGAACTATGTACAAATCCATAAATATCTGATGAATGAATGAACAGATGAATAAATGGAGGGAAATAATGTCTATACTGAAAAGGCAAGATCCACAGTGTGTTCAAAGTTGCAAGTGACCTTAGAAGCCAACAAGTCTAACCTGCCCCTGAGCAAGAATCGCCTCTACCATGTCCTTTACAAATGATCGTTGAGTATCATTTGACTGTAACTGAACCACAGAGACAGACAATGGCTCATCAGCCTCAGCTTGGCTCCTCTTGGCTCACACATCCTTTTGGGAAGGATGGTGGAGAGAGCAGCAGTCAGAGGAGTCAGAGGGCCTGGCTCTAACTCTTCACTTGGCCTCACCAGCTGTGTAACCATGGGCAAGTCCCTTCTCCATTCTGGGTCTCAGTTTCCTCATTTATAAAATGAGGGAGTTAGGCTACATTACATCTTGGGCTCCTTCTAGCTCTGTTCCTATGGTTTTAAACCTTAAAGCCTATCAAGAAAGGAGATCTGTGGTGAGAATGCTGGACTTGGAGCCAGGAAGACTTAAGTTCAAATCCTCCCTCAGATATTTATCTATAAAACATTGGACAAGTTACTTGGGCAGCTAAATAATGAAGGGAATAAAGCACTGAGCTTGGAATCAGGAAGACTCATCTTCCTGAGTTGAAATCTGGTCTCAGACACTTACTAGCTGTGTGACCCTGGGCAAGTCACTTAATCCTGTTAGCTTCAGTTTCCACATCTGTAAAATGAACTGGAAAAGGAAATGGTAAACCACACCAGTGTCTTTGCCAAGAAAACCCCAAATGGTGAGCCTGTGGAATCTTTGCCAGGCTATTCCTAGGGCAATACACACAAAGCCCATCACTAGGCCCCTACATGGAGCCTCTCTGACAGTGGTAGGGCCTATCAAAACCTCTGCCCTGCCTCCCCCTATCCCTGTACCCCACCCCCCCCATAGTTGTCTGGGTGAATCCAGGCTCATCTCTACTCCACACTGACACTGAAGTAGGGTTTTAATAAAGACTGCTGAAATTCCTGATCTAGTCATTATATCCTGGGAAAAGTTAGAGGACGGGAAACACCTTCTCTCCTGCCTGGGGTACTGGCTGTGAGCTAACATGGTGGTTAGCTTACTGCTGGGTCCTCCATTCCGGCTATTCAACAAGTAAATGCCGATGACATGTTGAGCCCTGGCAACAATGGCCATTGGAGCTCTGGTTAGCACAGCCTGCTGCTGGAGGGCCAGAAGGATGGAGCCAGTTGCTCTGCCACGTACTCTATGTGTGACTTTGGGCAAGTCATTTAAACTTTTTGGCCCCCACAAGATCCTGGGATGGTGATTAGCCTGAAAACCAGGGTCACTCTGTATCCTCTGCTTTCCAGGGAGAGGAAGGGAGTCCAGGGCCTCAAGGACAGAATGGAACTGATGGATCACCAGGAGCCAAGGTAATTTATGAGCCACAGTCTTCATGTGTGTGACCTTCCCAGTTGGGCCAATGCCTGTTTCTGAGTCAATAGAAGGCTCAACATAACCTCTGCTCTTCTTACAAGAAGAATCTTATCTGGGAACTTGGAGTGGAGCAAGGGAAGTGAAGAAGGAGCCTGAGGGAGAGAGGTGGGGAGAAAGGAAGAGAGAGAAAGGGGAAAGGAATAGAGAAGGGAAGGGGGAGAAGAGGGAAAAGGAAGAGAAAGGAAAGAAAGGTGAAAGGGGAGGGAATGGAGGTCAGATGGTAAAATTAGACATAGATGATAGGAAGGAAGGAAAGAAGGAAAGAAAGAAAGAGAAAGGAAGGAAGGAAGGAAGAGGAGAGAGGAAGAAACATTTATTAAGTGTTTACTATATGCTAGGCTCTGTTCTAAGCAATGAGATTACAAATATAAGCAAGCAAGACAGTCTTTGACCCCAAGGAGCTTACCTTCTAATGAGGGAAGACAATATAGAAAGGGGACCAGGAAACATGGGTTGGTGGGGAGAGGCAGAGAAGGCAGCTTGGTTTGGAGTTGGTGTCTGGGAAATAAGATAAATGCCTCATTGGAACAAGATAAGGTGAAAGCACTCTAGGACCCCTTTGGAGAGGAGGTGGGGAAGATGGAGGAGGCATAGTTTAGAGCCAAGAACTAATCATGAGAATTTCTATTTCCCCAGGGGGAGCCTGGTGAAAGAGGATCTGATGGCTTCCTTGGGCCCAGGGTACGCAAACACATTATGGTGACCTGTCTACTTTTGCTTCGGGCCATGAGCTGACAGGGCTAGGCCTCTTGAGTTGGGCATACCTGGCTGTTGGGGTAGGCTCTACAAGTGACTGATGGAGCTTCAGCCCTGCTGAGCAATCTTTTGGGGAAGATGGAAGGGAAAATAAGACTTCTTTCCAACAGAGAACTCCAGCCCCCAGCAAGAACAATGTGGTCTTCTCCCTGAGCTTGGGTGCTGGGAAGGGAGGGTTGGGGATGGAGTTACCGTGTGATAGTGGCCAACAAGTTGATTCAGGCCTGATCCCTGGCAAGAGGTAGTCCTTTGGCTCTCAGGTATAGATTGAGATCCTAAGAATGGCTGATGGCCAAAAGGATTCTCTGACCCAGCTGAGAACTAGGGGAGAGGATATTGGCCTAGGCCAAACTTTTTGGTCTCAGTATCCCTTTACACTCTCAAAAATTATTGAGGATCCCCCAAAGAACTTTTCTGTATGCAGTTTATAGCTATTAACATTTGTGTTATTAGAAATTAGAAATATGAAAATAGCTTTCAACTTCATGGATCTCCCCAAAAGTATCTCAGGGATCCCTAAGCATCCCTACATCATGCTTTGGGAACCACAGATCTACATAAAGCCAGTTTAAGGATTGAATAGTCTACCATTATATTTGCCTTAAGAAACAAACAGGCAGCCTTCTTTCTCAGATTTGGAAAAAAGTTAAATTCAGCATTGGTCATGGAAAGTGTAGGACCAGGTACTCATTATGTACATGTATTAGAAAAACGCAGAGGAGCTGAGTGAGGTCTGGGAAGGAGCCCCAGGTTGTGGTCGTGGGTCCAGGGGGCCTCTAAAATGTTGGCTTTTTCTCTTTTCTCAGGGTCTACCTGGCCTGAAAGGTGAGCAAGGAGACACAGTAGTGATTGACTATGATGGCAAAATCCTGGATGCTCTGAAGGTAAATTGGGTTTCTTTTGTTTTGGGGGTGGGAGGGTTGTTTGTTCTTATCAGAGCCCTGGTTAGACAGTGTAGCACTTTAGAGAGAGTGAACTGCATTGGGTGTCAGAAGAGCTGGGTTCAAATCCTGACTCTGCCACTCATCTGCATGGCTTCTTCTCTGGGCCTCCATTTCCTCATCTGTAAAATAAGGGGTTGGATCCCTTTCAGGTTTGGTTCTATGCTCTTATAACGATGACTCCTAGGGTACCTTCCAGCTCTAAATCAGGCCATCTGATCCTATAAGAGATATGGGGCCACTGGTGCTTCCACTGGCCTGTCTCTGTTATGCTAATTAGCTATTCCTGGCTCGGCTCTGCCTCTGCCCCTAGAGCAGACCCTTTGGGAGGAAGTCAGGATCAGTAGGGAGGAAGAGTGACCCATCCTGGAGGCTGCAGATCCCCATCCTTACTGATGCCACAGGTGGGAGAAGCAATGTGGTTCATCAGAAAAGGAACTAGTTATCAAGTCAGAGGACCTGGGTTCAGATCCTGCCCCTGATATTTACTATGTGTGTAACCTCGGGCAAGTCTCTCTGTAAAATGAAGATGCACTAGGTGGCCTTGGAAGGTCTTTTCTAGCTCTGGATCTGCAGCCCTAAGTCATGGAGAGACTTTTGTCTAAATACCCATCCCAGTGATGGCCCAGGTAGGGCAGGTTGTAGGGCTCAGGAACAGCAAGAGAAATGTGGCTCTAAAGGCATTGGGAATGGCCAGGGAGCCGAAAACAACAACAACACAAAAACCAATTGGCCAGAATAGAAGCATACATTTTCTCATACCCATGGTTTAATCTCCATTTATTTTACACGGGCTGCCAGAAAGTACAGGCTGATGGCAATTGCACCGTGTGCAGTGTGCTGTGGGGTGGAGGGGCTGTGCCATGGCAGCATGTTGGAGAGAGTGATGTTGAGTGGTTTACCAGGGGTGTGTGGTACAGTCCTGACCGTTCACTCACGCTGTGACCCCGATCACTGCTCTTTCCCTCTCTATGCCTCAATTTCTTCTTCTGCAAATGGAAAGAACACTGAATTAGGTGGTCTTGAGGCTAGCTCTGACACTCTATGGTCTATTGATAATGACAGTTGACATTTATAGAGCACTTCACATACAATTATCTCATTTGAGCCTTACAACAGCGTTGTAAAGTAGGTACTACGATGCCCATTTTACAGATGGAGAAACTCAGACTCAGAAAAGTTGAATGAATTGTCCATGGTCACCCAGCTAGTAAGTTTCGAAGGTAGGATTTGACCCAGGGAACTCAAAGGCCATGAGTTCAAATTCTGGCTTTTCCATGCTAGTCACTCAGTGGCTGCCGGTGCCTCAGTTGAGCCACCAGTAAAATGGAAGTGGGGATCCAAATCTTCTCTCCCATTAGAGGCTGAAAGCAATGATGAATAGAAATGATGGCACTTTCTAACTCCAGGGCCATGATGGTCTCTACTATATCACACTTGCCTCACTGGGGGAAAAAAATACATTTTTAAAAGAGGTAGAATGAGGATTTCAGGAGAAAGACTGGCTCATCCTGAGTCTATTTCTTGAGTCCTGGGTTTTTCTCTTTAGTCAGGAGCTTTGGCACAATGGAAAGTGCACTGGGCCTTGAATCAAGAAGACCTGAGTTCAAATTTGACCTTAGACCCTTAACTAGTTGTGCGACCCTGGGCAAGGCACTTAAGTGCTGTCTACCTCAATTTCTTCAGCCTTAAAATGAGGATAATAATAGCACCAACCTCATAGGGTGGTTACGATGATCAAATGAGATATTATTTGTAAAGTGCTTAGCACAGTGTCTAGCTAGCTATTATTATTTTTATCTTAAAGCTCCCAAAACAAATGACTGGTCCTGGGGAGCAACTGTGTCCTAAATGCTTTCTTCCCTCCCCTCAGGTCACTAGTGAAGTAGATGCCATCTCTAGGATATGTTATAGCATTCTAGAGGGGCTAGGGAACTCAGAGGCTGAGAGTTCTAATTCTGATTCTTCCATATTAGTCACATAGAAAGTGACTGCCCATTGCCTCAACTGGCCCTCCTATAAAATGGGGGCAGTGACATTAACCCTCCCTCCATCATACTCTCAAAGCAACTCTCAGCAGAAGTGGTAACAGAGGTACGTGGTGTGTGTGTGGGGCGGGGGGTGTACATGTGTGTGTGTGTGTGTGTGTGCACATTGTGGGTAACAACTGAGATATTTTGTGTCTACATTAACACTACTTTGGCTTTTTCCCACACAGGGTCCTCCAGGTCCTCAAGGCCCACCTGGTCCTCCAGGAACCCCTGGAGCAAAGGTTGGTTTAGCTATGTGCTTGATTATCTCAGTCACATCTGTCCTAATACAGAACTAAACAGATAGGCCTTTGGAGAAAGGGCCAGCCCCTAGGTTTAAGAGCTAGATGAATTTTTTAGCCTTCAGAAAAAGAAAAACTTAAAGGGGGGTGGGGGAGGAGAAAGAGAGTATACCTCAGATACTTCCAAGCTATAGATTAGACACATTGTAAAGCCATATTAACTCCTTGAGGCCAGTAAATACTATGAAATTTTCATATAAGACGTGGTTCATTTGAAAAAGACCTTGGATCTTAGCGGTCTGCAAGTTCAATAGGAAGCAGCTGTTATGTGGGGACTGATACAGCTAATGCAGTTTTGGGCTGCATTAATAGACATCTAGCATCCAGAACAAGGGTGGTAGCAGTATCACTGCCCTTTGCACCGGTTAGACTACATTTGGAGTATTGTACCCCGTTTGAGGGCAGCCATTTGGGAGGGGAATTGGATTTGTTTTCATTGGCCCCAGAGAATAGAATTGGTGCCAAAGGATGGGAGTTGTATGGAGACAGATGTTAATACAATATAATGAGGAATTTTCTAATAATTAGAAGTTCCCTCTGGAAGTAATGAGCTCCCTGTCATTGGATATATACAAGTAAAAGTTGTCTCAGGGCCGTTGTAGAGGTCTTACACACTGTAAACTGTTTAGTACCCAAATACCATAGTAATTTGCCAAACCTTCTTCATGGAACTTGTCTCACCTTGATTTTAATAAACATTTTCCAAAATGCTCCTTCTCCATGCCTCCCCACCCCCCAACTTCTGTTTGGGAGGAAAAGCCAGGAGAAAAGGTAAAAGAAAACTATGTCAGCCTCCTAACATAGGTATTTTCTATGGATAGGTTTCTGTTTTCTGATTAATAAACAACCATTGATTAAACACCTATGTGCAGACACTGTACTAGACACTAGGTATATAAAGACAAAAAGAAAACAGTTCCTGCCCTCAAGGAGATTACAGTCTATGGACAGGGGGTAGGGGCCTGTGTCAGGGAATCTACTAGACTATTTTCCTTTTGTTTTAAAATGAATGGGTGAGAGTACCTTTCAGTCCTATAATCCTGATCCCAGGAAAATCAGACACTGAGCAGAAATTATTCTAGGTCAGTAGATTCATTCTCAAATAGAAACTGATCCCTGCAGGCTGCATATTGACTTAGAAAACCATTCGGACTTAGAAAATTGGAAAACTTAGAAAACTACATCATCTATATTGTATTATATTTTATGTATTTTGTTAAATATTTCCCAATTACATTTTAATCTGGTTTGAACTCACTAGGGAGTTTTGTGGGCAGCGAGTCTGATACCTCTGCTCTAAGTTTTTCTTCTCCTGGACCCTATAACTCCTCTGGTCACCACGGAGTCACCCCTCCAGTAGCCAGAGAAGGGCTACCTCTCACATGGTCTGCTAGGATCAAATGGCCCTGACTGATAGCCAGGAAGTTTCTAGGGAGGAAGGACTCTGCTCATGCACTGATTCCTCTCTGGAAGGCTCATTCATTCCTGTCTTTAGGAATTGGCATTGTGAAGGTCAGAGGTGAATCATGCATCCTCCCTACCTCTCAACAGAGAAGTGGAGGACTATGGGTGTAGAATGAGGCTTACATTATCAGACATGGCCAGCATGATGGTTTTATTTAACTATATTTCTTTGGTCCATGAGAGGATCCCAATGCAGGAGGTGGAGGGGAGGGAATCATTGGGAAGTAACAGAAATTCTAAAAAAGGAAGTTATAAGATATTTTTAATGGAATCAGCCATGAAGCAATAGAGAGAGCCTAAGCTGGTTGTCAGTTTCTGGTTGCACACTAAACCACTGTGAGATCTTGGCCAGGACACATGCTTCTCCCTAATCAGCAGCTTCCTGTCTATCAGTCAGACAAGAATCCCGGCCCTCTCCCTCTCCCTCTTCCTCTCCCTCTCCCTCTTCCTCTCCCTCTCCCTCTCCCTCTTCCTCTCCTCTTCCTCTCCCTCTCCCTTTCCCTCTTCCTCTCCCTCTCCCTTCCCTCACCCCCACCAGGGATGTTATAAGGCTCAAATGAAAAATTGCATGAAAAAGCACTTTGGAAATGTACTAGGCTCATGTGAGCAACTCTTATTCTTATGTCTGTTTTTTCTGACTTTAGGGAGAGCTTGGATTGCCTGGTCCTCCTGGAGTTGATGGAGAAAAGGTCTTATCTCTTTGTTCTAGATGATGCAACTTTTGAAGAAATGGTCTTTGCCGGGGCCAGGGAGTGGCGGGGGCAGTCTGAGAGCTTGAAACTAGTTATAATCAAAACCACTTTCTACTGTGAATTTTATATCCAAATCCACTATCAAATGGTTCCATGTCGCAGAAATCTCATTCCCAGGAGAGGTGCCTATAAATTACAGGGCATACACCTTCTGCAGACCTTGATGGAGAGAGATTCCAGCCTGTCAGGCTTAGATTCTGGGGGTGCCTGGGCTGAGAAAACAAGGCTGTCCAGTTGTCAGGGCCACAGCTGGCCTGGGGTACAGCAGGACCTTGTAGAGAAAGCCAGTGCCTTTTTCAGGGTTTGTATTCCAACCCTGGGCTCTTCACTTTTGTGTATTTCAGGGACCAAAGGGCTCGAAAGGAGACCAGGGACAGCCAGGACTGATGGGACCCAAAGGAGAAATTGGAGAAATGGGCTTGTCTGGCCCCCCGGTATGTGGCCAGCACATGGTTGGACTCTGGGCATCGGACACTGGCTGTGTCAGCTGAGCTGGGCTGAGCTCTGCATAAAGTCCTTGTGTCAGTTTAGAAGCCGACTCCTAGGTCCCAAGGATAGCATGGTGGTGTGGAAAAGGGCCAAATGTGGAGTCCTAGGACATGAATTCAAATCTTCTGCCTACTACCTATGTGACCCTGGACAAGTCACTTAATTTCTCTGGGCCTTAGTTTCCTCATCTGTAAAATGAGAGAGTTGGACTCAATGACCTCTAAGGTCCCTTCTAGGTCTAAACTTATGATTCAATGAATATAAAGCCCCCTACATTTTTCTACCATATTTCTACATAATTATAAACTGGCTCCATGGGAAGAACAATGAATCAGCAGTTGGTATATCTCAACTGGAATCTCAGCACTGCCATTTCCTAGACCTATGGCATTGGACAATCACTCAATCCTTCAGAGCCTCAGTTTCCTCATCTGTAAAATGGGGATAATGGTCCCTGCCCTGCCTCCTTTTCAGGCTTATACCTTGTAACCAACTTTTAAGTGCTATACACATATGAGTCGTGATTTTTATTGTTGTTATTTTCATTACTCAAATGAAAAGGACCTGAATATTATCTCCATACAGGGTGTTGATGGCCCCAAAGGCGAAAAGGGAGAATCAGGGTCTGCAAGTCTTCAGGAGAGCCTGGTAAGAAGCCTGGGAGCCAGACATTTCCCCCACTGTCCTGCCCCTGTAACTATTTCTGGCCCAGGGTCATACACAGCTGCTCACTAACTATCCCTAGGGTTTGTGCCACCAGGTTGGAGGGCATCATTGTGGCTCTTGGCCACTGAATGAAGCTGGGTCATACACTGTAGGCTGACAAGACTTCAGTGTTACAGTATGTCCTTCCCCCAGGTCTGAATCCTATCCCCAGAGCACTGAGTCTGAGACCACAAACCTCCACATATCAAAGGTCCCTAAACACTATTTTCCAGAAGAGGGTCCCACTGGACCCTTCCCATGGACCCACAAGGTAGGAATGAAGAAAAGAGCCAGGGAGCCATCAGAAATGCCAAGACCATAGTTGTTAATCCATCGGAGTATCCTGTGACAGAGGCCTAGGAGGAAGTGGGGAGAAGTAGGGTAGGAGTAAGGTGTGCTTAGAGATCTCAAAGCTACCTTGCCAGCCTCAAGAACTGAAGGTATTTTCTCCCCCTGGGGTTCTGGACACACACAGACACACACACACACACACACACACACACACACATGCTATATCTTGCCTTTGAATTCTGACCAATTTGCCTTTGTTTTCCATTTCCTAGGCCCAGATTCTAGCAGAACCAGGGCCACCTGGCTTACCTGGCCCCCCAGGTCCTATGGTAAGGGCTGTTTGCTACAAACTTTTGACCTGGGGTAACTCAAGAACAGCATGGTATTAAGGAAAGGGTACTGGATAATCCAGATTTGAGTGCCAGCTCAGTTACTATATGTATGACTGGGGCAAGGTGCTTTTCACTCTGGGCCTCAGTTTCCTCATCTGTAAGATAAAAAGGTGGGATAGGTGACCTTCAAAGTCATTTCTAGCTCTAAATCCTATGGAAAGGAGGCTACCTTGGGGCTAGGAAGGGAAAGGGGGTGTGGTGGGAACACACTCCCTCTGCCTAGTGAGACATCTGTTCTGCACGTGCATGAATACGCACATACCCCCTTCTGAAGGAGCTATAAATGGGGAGTCCTCATTTTTCTAGAAGGGAGGGAAATAAAGGTCCAAGGGGAGGCTGTTTGGCACAGCATAAGGAGGGCTGGGTTTGGAGGCAGAAGAACTAAATTCAATCTCAGCTCTGACATGTATGTCCATGTGACTTTATGTAAGACACTTAACCTTTTTGGGCCTCTGCCTTGCCTTCTGATCTGGCAGGGTGATTCAGTGGAAAGAGCATTGAAGCTGGAGCCAGAGGAACTGGGTTGTAATCCTAGCTCTGATAATGACTGCCTCTGCCCTTGGGCAAGTCACTGGGCCCCAGTAGCCTCAGTTTCCTTGTCTGTAAAATGAGGGAGTTGGACTAAATGACTTCTCAGATCCCTTCCAGCTCTGGATCTGTGATCCTATGACCAGCTAACTTCATTCCAACTCTGAATCCTGTGACTCTGAGAAGAGAAAAGGACACAACTCATTGGGTTCCGTGGAGGGAGAAGGGAAGGAGAAGAGAGGGAAGGGGGAGCTAAGGAGGGGAAAGGAAAGAAGAATGGAAAGCCCCAGCTAATCAATTTACCCACTAAGTACTTGCCTGGGGGCTCCCAAGGTTAGCAGAAACTTGAAAAGAGAGTTCTTCTCTAGGGCCAGAGGATCTCCTTTTTTACAGGTGAGGGAATCTGGATAGGGCAGATGAGGGGCAAAGGTGGTGGCCAAGACTCAGGAAAGCCTGAAAACCAGAGCAATGGCTCCTTTCTCTGTTCTGAGCTGAAGCCTAGACCCCTCCCTGTGGCACCATGCAGAGACCCACACACACCCCACTCACAGGATCATCTACAGGAGAAGAGCAGACAGGGCTGTCCCTGTCTCCTAGACCCCAAGAAGTGTTCCTGGGCACGTTCTTGGCTCATTTCACTGAGATTCCTAGCTAAGGCAGGGGAGAGGGAAGCCTGGAAAATTACATTGGAATAGCTAAACCTAAGGGCCCTAGAATCAGGGATGTACTGAAGCCAGCTGGAGGAAGAGCTGATTGTTAAATGTGCAGGGTGAACATATTGGCAAACACTACAGATCAGGGATTGATTTGTTGTGTTGTCTAGACAGGAGAAAATGTTAATAATGCAGACTAAACTTAAAAGTGTGTCATGCACACACTTTTTTTTTTCCGGCTAGTTATTAAACATTTCCCAGCACAAGTCCAGAGATCTCAATCCACCACTACTCAGAGTGTGGGTATGGAAAGTCCTGGCCCTGTCTCCCTCACAGAACTAACTGCTGAGATTAGAGAGAGGAAGAGAGAGGGAAGAGAGAGAGAGAGAGAGAGAGAGAGAGAGAGAGAGAGAGAGAGAGAGAGAGAGAGAGAGAGAGAGAGAGAGAGAGAGAGAGAACATTTGTCAGGCATTTCCAGTGTGCCAGGTATAATGTTCAAGATGCAAATATAGGCAACTGAGACAGTCCCTGCCCTGAAGAAGCTTACATTCTAAGGAAAAACTACAACACATAAAGGGAAACTTAATTGGGGGAAGAGGCGGGAAGGAAGGGTGCCTGGGGGCAGGGGGATGTGACAAGAGGGGTGGGGAATTCCGGGCCTGAGTGAGAGGAAGCCTGGCTGAAGCTCTTCTTAAGTGTTGGTCCAGATGAAAAGGGAAGGCCCCAAGGCAGGTAGCGATGTGGCAAACTAGGAGAAAGAAAGGAAAGCCTTAAACCCTTATTAACATTTCTTTTGCCTTGAAATTCTGCCTTCTCAATTGAATCTAATGGCTTTTCCTTTTCTCCCTTGAAGGGTCTTCAGGGAATCCAGGGTCCTAAGGTGAGTAAGTAAATTTGGTTAAATTGTATTAAAGGAAGAGGGAGAGCTTTGTGAATGAATTGACTATCATCCCAGAGCTTTCCCTTAGAACGGGAGTGAGGGGTTAATAGCCTGAGTTGACCCATTGCTTTAGGGCAAAATCCCCAGACTGCCATAGGGGAAAAAAAACTTCACTTCAAATATAAATTTCTAAGTTTGATGACGATAGCAGATGACAGACAGGATGACATAGTGAGCTGGCCTCAGAGTTAGGAAGAATTGAATTTGAGTCCCACATCCTATCTGTGTGACCCTGGACAAGTCACCTAACCTGTCAATGGCCCAGCAACCCTCTAAGGCTATGAAACCAGATCTCAATTGGTAAAAGAAGTGTCTCACTTGTAGCTTTCTATACCAATAAAACATTTTTAAAATAAAAGGTTAAAAAATAATAGCACCTAAATTGTTTCTAAACTCGTTGTACCCTAATGATTTTTAAAAGGAGGGTGTTACTTTGCTCTCATCCTTGTGGATCTATAGCACTGAGCACAGTGCCTTCTTCATTTCCAGGGCTTGGATGGTGCGAAAGGGGAGAAGGGTGCCACCGGAGAGAAAGGCTCCAACGGGCTGCTTGTGAGTTGACTCTCAGTGCAAATTCAGACGTTCACTTTTTACTTGTGTGTTCCAATCCCACATTCCCAAAAGTCTCCTAATTCTGTCCTTTTCTGTCTAGGGACCAGCTGGCCCACCTGGCCTAATTGGATTACCCGGAACAAAAGGAGAGAAGGTAAAAATTCTTGTGTCCACCAACCCTACAGGCTTTCATTCATTCATCCATTTAACAGACCTTTCCTGGAACCTGCTGGATACAGGGTCCTATGCTAGGCTCTACTAGGAATAGGTGATAATGCCACTGTAGGGCAACTAGGTGGTGAAGTGGATAGAGTCAGACCCAGAGTCAGGAAGATGAGTCTTCCCGAGTTCCAATCTGGCCTCAGACACCTACTAGCTGTGTGACCCTGAGCAAGTCACTTAACCCTGTTTGCCTCAGTTTCCTCATCTGTAAGATGAGCTGGAGAAGGAAATGGCAAACCACTCCAGGATCTTTGTCAAGAAGACCTCACATGGGTGATGAAGAGTTGGACATGACTAAACAACAATGCCACCGTATTCTGCCTTCATCAGACGTCCTCTGGAGTATTACGTTCAGTTCAGGCACCATATGTTCTATAAAGGACATTAAGAAACTGGAGAGTGTCCAGAGAAGAGCAACCAGGATGGCGAAGGGCCTTGAGTCCCTGTCCTGTTAGAACTGGTTAAAGGGACAAAGGTTGTTTGATCTACAGAAGAGAAGACTTGGGGGGTGGAGATGACAATTGTCTTCAAGTATTTGAAGGGCAACTACTTAGGGGCAGCTAGGTGACACCATAGTGCATAGAGCACTGAACCTGGAGTCGGGAAGACCTGAATTCAAATCCAGTCTCAGACACTTCCTAGCTGTGTGGCCCTGGGCAAGTCACTTCACCTCTATCTGCCTCAGCTTCCCCATCTGTAAAATGGGGATAATAATAACAGCTACCTCTCAGGGGAGTTGCAAGGATCAAATGAAATAATTTTTGTAAAGCACTTTGCAAATCTTAAAGTGCCATGCAAATGCTATGATTATGACCGTTATTATCATATGGAAGAGGGATTGGCCTTGCTCTATTTGGTCCCAGAGAGAACTAGGACCAAGGGGAAGAGGTTGCAAAGAGGCCAATTTAAACTGGATATTAGGGGAAAGTTCCTAACAATCAGACCTGCCCCAAAGTAGAAAGGGTTCCTCTTCCTCGAGGGCCTTCAGGCATAAGGCAGATAGCCACTTGATGGATGGTTTAGTGAGATACGTACTCCTCTTATGTATGGGTTAGATTAGTTGGGCACCGATGTCTCTTCCAACTCTCAAATTCTGTGATTCGTTTGATCTTCTCAACAGCCTGTAAAGAAAGTAGTACAAGTATCATTACCCCATTATAGCCATTACGCCCATAATCCTTGGCAGGACCGAGGATTAGAGGAGCTAAGTAACTTGTTCAGAGTCACATGGCGAATACTTGGCAAAGCTGAATATTCCTTTTTTTTAATTAATTTATTTTGATTGATCAACAATCACTTCCATATAAAGCTGAATATTCTTAATCTCCTTTAGGAATATAGGATCATAGATTATCAGGGCAGGAAGGGACCTTAGAAATCATCTAAGAATTAGATTCTAATTTCACCTCCCTCATTTAACAGATTAGGAAACTGAGTCATAGAAAGGTTAAGTCTTTTTTGTTTTGTTAGTTGGTTTTACTGAACTCTTCTTCTTCTTCTTCTTCTTCTTCTTCTTTGGAAGGGCTCTCTGGAAGAAGAAGGGGGTAGGGCAGGTAACCTGGGAAATATAGGTGGTATAAAGATATAATATAGGAATAAAAATTTATTTTTAGGAAAATTAAAAGCAGCTCCCAAAAAGATGTGAGATACTCACTGACTAGGTCTTTTAAATAGACATCATCTAAAATACTGAGTCAGCAAATATTACATGCATTCATCACCAAGCATTACTGTCCTTCTTAATACCTGTGTGACCTTGGGCAAGTCACTACCTCCCTGGTCCTCAGTTTCCTCTCCTGTAAGGATGAGAGGGTTAGATGAGATGGCTTCTGAAGTCTCTTCTAGCTCTAGATATGTGACCCTATAAAACCCGAGCAAGGCCTTCTAAATAACTTGTTTCCATCCTCTCCCTTTTATTCCAGGGCAGACCTGGTGAGCCAGGATTGGATGTAAGTTTCTCACTGCTTCCCCAGACTTGGGATTGTCAGTGGCATCCCCAGGAAATTCCCAGAACATGCCCCTGTTACATGGTCCCTCTTGGGGATGGGGGCAAGGGGAGGTGGTGATCGGGTACCAGAAGTTCTCTTCTTGGTGTATGTAAGTTATCCACTTCCTGGTGGATGATGGATAGTCCATAGTGAATCATGCAGGCTGCCCTATTGGTTCCACTCAATGTGTTTATGGATGATGGAGCCACTGTGCCTTTAAGACTGGTCCAGTCCTAAGGGGAAGAGTCCATGACTGAGTGATCCTCTACAGAGCAAATAGGGACATCGAGGGCCTTTTCTACCTCCCTGGGAGATGAGACTGGGGCAGAGGCAAGAGAAAAGTCTTGAGCCAGAAGTGGAAGTTGAGATGACCTTCCAAGAATTACCCAAGCTCTAAACTAAATAACTCACTCAGCCCCACCCCACCCCCACCCCTCCTGGGGCCAGGAGTTGTCTGGGGAGAGCCATGACTTAACAAAAAGCACATTGCCCACATCTCTGCCTCAGGCCTTTCCCCAAAGACATGTATGATGTCTCTGTTTGGAAAAAGAATGATCATTTCCTGACTCCACTAAAACCCACTTGTCTCCATTTAGATCACATTTGTGTGCATTTTCCCAGTACTCAGGGCATTGGTATCCTTGCACGTGTTCAACTTAACAAGGGAGGCAGGGTTACCTTCTACAAACTCCCATTGGATCTTCTGTCTTTTTCTTAGGGTTTCCCAGGACCCCGAGGAGAGAAGGGAGAGAGGAGCAAACAAGGAGAGAAGGTGAGAGCTGGGGCCCAATTCCCCTCTGGAAAATGGGATTAGATGACTGACCTCAGAATGGCTGTGAGCTCCCTGAGCTGGGACCGAGCAGGCCCAGGGCCTCTGCCTCTTAGAGGAGCCATTCCTAAAACAAACAATTTTCTATCCACAGGGGGATCGAGGGGTTCCTGGCAGAAAAGGAGCAAAGGGACAGAAAGGAGAGCCTGGACCCCCTGGATTGGATCAGCCATGTCCAGTGGTATGTGGCCTCCTAGCTGTGGGGAGCAAGTAGGTGGGGGGAGTTGAGGCTCTGTGCCCACACTGAGCTGTGTGACAGTGAAAATGGATCCTCTGTGGTGGACTTCCTTTTTCATTGCAGAAGACTTAGGTCCAAGCTACTGAGACCCTCTATGCCTCCTTCCTACTGGACAGCTAAGACACATCTAGTTGTTAGAGAGCAGCCGGGGCTGAGAGGTTTAAGGCTTTACCTAGGCATGGTGCATTCATCATTATTCATTCCCAGCATTCAGCAGTCACTTCAAAAGCAGCAAATTATAACTTCTCCAGATAACACCATGGTTACCATGAATCTTGCTTAGTTTCTTCAGCAAGTCCCTCAGGGTTAAGGCAAAGAAGTGTATTTGACCTTACAGATATCACTGAGGCTTGATGAAGAAACTGGGATAGCTAAAATGATACAGTCATCATCATTATCAAGACAATGTGGTGGGGCAGCTAGGTGGTTCACTGTGGAGCAGAGGCCGACCCTTCCAGCTCTTCCTGGTTTCAAGGCCAGCTTTCTATACACTAGACATGCTGCCTCTGTTGTATGTATGTATGTGTGGGTGGTATGTGTGTGTGTGTGTGTTTTAAGACATGTAATACATAATTGAAGTTCCTCCTGTGTCACTGAGTGATATAGCCTCCCAGCCCTGTTTACCTCCCCCCACTGCTTCTGCTCCCACTCCTGGATTCTGTCCGTATGAATAAGCTGTTGTCTTCAAAACAGGAAAATCCAAATTACAAAGGAATGAAAGGAGAGTCAGGCTCCCTGGGCCTGGATGGGGCCAAGACTCCCTGTCCTGTGGTATAGTATCTGCTTTCCTGTTCTTTCCCCCCTTGCTTTCCCCTCCCCGTATCTTCCTCTCTATTCCATTTCCTCTCCCTTCCCTTCTTTTCCTTGCATGAGACTTGTAGTTGACCTGCCTGGGTTTGCAGTGCCCTCCTTCCCAGATCTGAACGAAATGTTCCCGGCCCTAAAGCTATTCCTTGGCTCTTACACAGAAATATATCCCCAGAAAACTTACACCTGTTATACACACATGCATCTGTGTTCCATATCAACCAACCCCCCAATCCTAACCTTTCCTGCCAGTTATATACGTGCCCCTTTTCCTTTCTGCCTGGCATCCATGCCATTCTGGAGAATGTGTGTCCTCTTCCTGGGTTAGGGACCAAGGTTAGGGAAATGCTAGCTGGGGAGCAGCAAGTGGGGTGGGAGAGCCCAGACAGCCCCTGCTAATGCTCAATATTCATCCTAATTGAACCTGAGCTTTTGACCTCTGCAGGTCAGATCCCATTACAAAGGATTTCTAGTTGGTTGTGGGTAAGATTGGGTCTTGGCCCGAGAGTTCTCTTGGTCAGAAAGTTCTCTACTTAAAATACAATTTAAGGAATTAAGTCATCAGAGACTACTGCCAGACAGGAAGTGGTAGAGCAGCCACACTCAGGAAAAAGATGCCATTGCTAGTCTGCCGGGCTTCCCTGGGCCCTGAGGTCAAGGCAACACCTGTAGATGTTGGGCAGATATAGGGGACCCTATCTCCCCTTGGGAAGAGGGAGTGAGAGTAGGAATTAGATCTTGTTAATGCACTTAATTGTGATAGAATGAGCCCAATTTAATGTAAACCAGCTCATCAACGAGCTTTCATTCTATTTATTTGAAATTTGTGGGGATTATGTTCTTAGGAATACACTGAGTAGAGAAGGGAAGAGATCTATCCCCAGGAAGCATTCAGAAGTAAATCAATCTATCATCCTCCCCGTCCTCATACAAAGAACTGCCTGACAGAAATGTAATCTCCCACTAGGAGCTGGGGACAATGGCAAAGGGTGTGAGGGAGCCCTGGCAGAACGATCAGGATGTGGGATCTCTACCCCACCCCACCCCCCTTCCACCCCCCCACCACCGCCACCTCCCATCCTCCCCCTTCCTGACTTCGGCCACATGGTCTAATTTATATGGATCTTAGGCAATGTTCATAGAGTGCCATTGAGGCACGAAACCAAGATCTCTTGCTGGGAAAATCCCAGGCTGTGTGAAGCAAGGTCAGGATTTGGGTCAGGGGGAGAGAGGAGGCTCACTTCTGCTTCCCTCCATCTACTGAACCCACAGAACCATTCCCCAGACAAGACCCCTGAGGGGAGACTTTCCCCTTCAGTTAGCATGGCCAAGGAAAGGAAGGCAAGTGACTGATGGGAAACAGGTTACAAAGAAATCAAATTTCATACGATGCCACCCCCCTCCCTCTTCCCCGAAGACTTGAACATGGCCTCCTCCTAGACCTGACTCTCCCATCCCATCCCAGAAGCCTTTGCACATACTGCGCCCAGGAAGGCGTTTAGCTACAAACAAGTACTGGGCTCACCAACGAGGAGAGCCAGAGCACCAACCCCCCCTTAGACTTACAAACCATGTCCCTGTCTCCCTGCCACCGACACCCCCTTCGCATTCTTTGTGGTTTCCTAGTGGGGATTGGGATAAGCAATATACCTTCTTCTGTCCCATCCCAGGCACATTCTCGCCAAGCATAGTGCTTCTGTTAGTGCTTAACGAAGTCTAATCAAATTGGACTTAATTGGAAAATGGGAGAAGGAATAGATAACTTTTATCTAGGGAGGGTTTCAAGGAAGGTTTAATTGAAGAAATGGAAATAGCTAGGCCTTGAAGGAAGTCTCTCCCTACTCCAGCCAGTAAAGTGATTTTCCTAAAACGCAGGTCCTACTGTCACCCCCTACTCAATAAATTCTCCTGGCTCTCTGTTGCCTCCAAGAGCAAATACAAAATGCTGTTTGGCTTTCAAAGCCCTTGATGACTGAGCCTCCTCCCACCTTTCCAGTCTTCTTACACCTTACTCCTCAATCCAGTGACACTGGCCTCCTGGCTGTTCCAACAAACAAAATGCTCCCTCTCTCTGCTCTGGACATTTTCTCTGCTATTCTCCATTCTTGGAACATTTCCCTCCTCCACTCCAACTCCTGACCTCACTGGCTTCCTTAAAGTACCAACTAAAATCCTAGCTCCCACAGAAAACCTTCCCTAACCCTTCTTAAATTAAGTGATTTCCCTCTTTTAATTATGTTCTGTTCAGCCTGCATATAGCTTGCTTTGTATATATGTGTTTTGCATGTTGACTCCCCAATTAGATTGTAAGCTCCATGAGGGCAGAGACTGTCTTTTGCCTCTTTTTTTGTATCCCCAGCACTTAGCACAATGCTTGGCACATAATGTGAATTTTTTAAATGTCGAATGATTGATTAATTGCAGCGGATAACTTGCACAGATGGAGGGGAAGGAAAATCTCACTAGGGGCCTCTCTCCCACTCTGGGGAAATGTCAAGGTTTCTGGGAAATGGATCAGTACTTCTCTTTGGTTTCAGAGTGACTTGACTATGTAGATTTGAGTTGTTTTTAGTTGAATTCCATTACCACCTCCCTTCCCCATCTCATCCACCTTCCGTGCTAGATGTCCCCAAGAAGCCTTGTGGCCCTGCAGGGGACTGAAGCTTCCTTCTCTCTTCTTCTCCAGGGGGCTGATGGACTGCCTGTGGCAGGCTGCTGGCACAAGGTAAGGGAACAAGCATTTAAGGCTTTTTGATTGGACATTCCTTCATGGCTTCCAGGGACAGCCTGGGCAAGGTCACTTTGTAACTGATGGATTGTCCAGAAGTGAATAAATCAGCCACACACATGCCAAGATCCTTCCTACTGCACTCCAAGGAAGAAACCAGCCTCCCCTCTTCTCTCTCCCTTTCAGGCATTCCCAAAATCCCTGTTTCCCTTCTAAGGGGAAGTTGGCCAAGAAGCCCCAGCAAATCACTGTATCCGGGCCAGATGGGGGAGGAGAAAGGAGGAAAGATTTTGGGAATCACCTGTTTTCTTAAAGGAAAACTGACTATAATGAAGTGTTTTAGATATTTTTTGGAGACCGCCTTCCCCTCTCCCCCCAGACCCCACACATACACCAAGCTGGTGGGAATTAGAGAAGGGTGGGATTGGGACAATACTGGCTGAGGTATTCTAGATTTCCCAGATAAACCCTTTTACCAACTCCACATCTCTCTGTTCTTTTTCAGTGATTCCTACTCTTCCCACCTGAAGCTTGTACATATTCATGTGACATACTTCGCTCTACTTCATTTTTGTAAAAAACAAACGAAACAAACAAACAGTAATATATTGATTTTTTTTTTTTTGCTGGATGTTGCCATTTGTGGATTTTTTTAAAAAAAATTTTAAGTTTCCAGAATGGCTGAGAAGTGACTTTCACCCACTTGGCTCAGACTGGCCTGAGCTTTGCATGGCATGGAATCTTAGCCTCTTCCTCAACTAAAGGACTTAGCCCAGGTCTCCAGCTCAGAAGAGATGGATCCCTGGGCTCTTTGTGTGAAAGGAAAGACTCCTGGGAACTGTGACTTGTCATCCCTTTGCTTCTCCATAAAGCAAAGGAAAGCACTCCTGATTTGGGGGAGAAAGGGGGCCAGAAGAATTCAAGCTAGGAGACCACAGACACAGCTGAGTTTCGGCACATTTGTTCACCTCCCATTTGAAAAAGAAAGGAGGAAAAAAATAAGACTTCTAACTACCCCCCAAATCCAGCCCATGGCTTCATCCTTTGTGTGCCCTATACCCCAAAGCCAATGGAAAGAATATGGTGCCAGAGATGATCCGCATCTTTCAAGATGGCTCCTGGAGCTGCTAAGATTGGTGTCAGGGGCTGGAGAATCTGCAAGGACTCAACTGAGGGGCTGCTTTCTAGTCCTACTTTCCTGAAGAACGGGGCGAGAACAAGGCAGCTGCCCCAACAGCACTTCTACACACACACACACACACACACACACACACACACACGGCTGCCATGACCTTCCAACCTAGGCCTTCCTATCAGAAAAAACTCCTTTTGCCAAAAGTCTTGGGCGGAGTCTTGAAAACGTGGCAGGTCAGGATGAAGTACCTCCATTCCCTGGGGGCACTTGTTGCTTTCGAACTCCCCATCTTCTGCTAGTCACATCCTCCCTGACTTCCCTGCAGAAGCCCTTATGCCTTCATGGAACCCTCCATCACAGGCTGCTCCTGGGCAGGCATGACACACCAACTTGGGACTGAAGTTTGCTTGTCACTGTCCCTTCTTTCTCCCTTCAGTGGCAAAGCTTGGGCCCCAGACCTTCTCCGTTCTTCCCTTTCGACAGGGAGTTCTGGCACAAAGCCATCCATCAATCAGCAAACATTTATTAAGTTCCTTTTCAGTACCAGCCGCTGCGTTAGATGCTGGAGTCTGCCCTCAAAGATTTATTTCATCCAGACATCCTCCCCACTGCAGAGCCCAACAGATTCCTGGAACCTTCCCTACCCTCTCACAATTCCAGCTTGAACTGGTGTCAAAGTAAATTTCCATTTTCTGGGCACACCCAGTGTGCTGGGCATTGACAGTGCAAGGCAGGAGGTGGGACGGAGCTAACTCCTGCATGGAAAACTCAAATGCATGTTATATAGACTGTACTGGATAGAGGTTTTCTTTACACTGAAAATCCAGTGGTTTGTGGTAGCAGGTGGGAATCCCATGCTCCTTTGCAGACATTGTTTAAGCTTTGAGAAATAGTCATTCAATTTGACATGCATCGGCAGTTCTGTGAACTATGGCTGCGAAGGTCCCATGGTCACTGATACAGGCATACTCAAGGGAACAAGAAAGGCGGGTTCAAAAGGTTTTCAAGGATGTAACTGTTGCTGACCTTATGACCCAGCATCATCCTGGCCCAGCCTTTTGGGACACTCTGAGCCTGGGGTGCTCAAGTCACTTGCTGTATAGCCCAGTGCACGAGGGACTTCCAAAAGGATATATGCAATACAGAAAATATAAACAAGCATGTGGGGAAAGAGACACAGGTAACTTATAAAGCTAACAGTTCTGCCACAATGATGTCTTCCCAGCCTCTGTAGTTCTTTCTCCTGGCAACAATTTCAGCTCTACAGCTACAGTATAAGGGTCAGGATTAAAAAACAAACAAGCAAAAAAACCCCACCATTCCCGTGGCCTGGGAGTTCCATGCTTTTATAAACTGGCTGGAGTCAGTCTTAATAATAGGAAAGAGGCTGATGCCTTTCTAAGGCTCTTGGCATCAGCTCCTGCTTTCCTGCCCCCAAAGGTCAACTACCTTGCCTCGCTGGTCGTGCTAATGTTGCCTTGGCCTGGATTGCTGGCCTTTGTGTATGTCCCTTGGGACCATGCATCTGTACTGGTTAAGCATTTCTCCTGATGAGTCTTACAGCTTTTCAGGACTAAGAATAGATTCTGCAACCCAAATTAGGAGGGACTTGAACCAAGAAGGGTTTTTATTTAGGCCAGGAAAAAAAAAAAAAAGGTGTTCCTCATCTAACAAAAGTACAAAGCTACTGGCTTCATTTACTATTAATTGTTTTCTGTTTCTTTTGTAAATTAATGTCTAAGAATGTAATAAACTATAAGGGTATTTCTGGATGTGAAATCTTTACAAGCTGCGTGACCGCATCCTGCATAAGTGCATTGATTTCCCCTTGTATGACTCTTAGCCCAAATAGTTGCTCCCTAGCATCTCTTCCGGGAGGTTTCTCTTGCCATGCAGACACAGGAATCAGTAGGCACTTCAGCTCTTCTTCATGTACGATGTTATATTAAGTCTGATATAACAGACCAATTGCTACTCGTCCTAGTATTTGCTGTGTGCATAGGCTAAGGATCAGCAGAAAGCATGTTGCAGACCACAATGGATACATATAGAGGATACAAAATCAACATCCTGGGAGGGGCATCATGGTTTTTTTGGAAAGAGCACTGACTCTGAAACCAGAAACCTGAGGATCAGACTCTTCCTCCAATGCTTATAATCAATGTGACTTTGGGCAAGTCACTTAACAGTCAGGGGTAGCTAGGTGGTACAGTGGATAGAGCACTGGGTCAGAAAGAGCTGAGTTCAAATATGTTCTCTGATACTTACAAGCTGTGTAACCCTGAGCAAATCACTTAATCTCTGTTTGCCTCAGTTTCCTCATCTGTAAAATGGAGATAATAATAGCACCTATCTCCCAACATTATGAGGATCAAATGAGATAACATTTGTAAAATGCTTAACCCAATGTTTGGTACATGGTAAATGTTAGCTATTATTTTTTAATCTCCCTGGGCCTCAGTTTCCTCATCTGTAAAATTAGGGGTTTTGACTAGATGACCTCCAAGGTCCCTTCCAGTTCTAAATCTACGGTCCTGGGTATCCCACATGTTGCTCTCTCCCATTCTTTCTCTTATCTACACTCACTCCTCTGCAGACCCACATCAAATAACCTGTTTGCTGCAACTCACTCTGTAATCCCCAAATAGTGTCTAGACTCTGCTTCTACTACCACCAATTGCCTTTTTTTCTTCCCTAGCACTCCTAGATACCCTTGTAGGAATACTTGCACAATCGACCAGGACAGCTACAGGAGTGAACTTTCTCTCCATACTTCAAGCAACATACATTCATCCATATCGTGCCATGCCCCTCTCAAAGTCCGGTAGCTGTACCCCAGTCTTCTGACACAGGGCTACAATGAGTGCTACCAAGAAAATGCAAGCAAGAGAGCTTAGTGCCATCTCAGAAGGTTATTTGGGATGATAATAACAATAATAACAACAACATTGCATTACATTTGCATATGATTTTTCCAAAGCATTTTCACATATGTTACAGAGAGGTGGGGGAGAGAGAGAGACAGAGAGAGAGAAAAAGAGAGAGACAGCGAGGGGGAGAGAGAGAGAGAGAGAGGGTTCTCTACTAGGTAGCTAGGTAGCATAGTGCATAGAGGCTGGGCCTGGAGTCAGGAAGGCCTCAGTTCAAATCCAGCCTCAAACACTTAATTGGGTGAACACAGGCAATTCACTTCACCTCTGTTTGCTTCAGTTTCCTCAAACATACATACATCAGGGATAATGATAGTACCAACCTCACAAAGCTGTTTCAAGGATCAAATGAAATAATATTTGTTTTTTGTTTTTGTTGTTGTTTTTTAAAATTTTATTAATTTATTTTGATTTATCAACAATCACTTCCATATGCTACTGAGTTTAAAATTTTTCTCCCCCTTCCTCCCCACCACCCTCCCCAAGATGGCGCACAATCTGATATAAGCTATACATATACATTCCTGTTAAACATCTTCACATTAGTCATGTTGTAAGTAAGAATTAGAACCAATAGGAGGAACCATCAGAAAGAGGAAACAAAACTCAACAGAAGAGAAAAAAATAGCAATTCAACTTTCATAGTTTCCATCACGAGGCATCTGGGGATGTCTTAGATCCTTGTATTGCTGGGAAGGGTTAAGTTTATCAATATTAGTCATCTCACAACGTGGCTGTTATTGCGTACAACGTTCTCTTGGTTCTGCTCACTTCACTCAGCATCAGACCATACAAGTCTTTCCAGGTTTTTCTGAAGTCAGCCTGTTCATCATTTCTTTTGGCATAATAGTATTCCCTTACATTCATATACCACAACTTGCTCAGCCATTCCCCAATTGATGGGCATCCTCTCAATTTCCAATTCTTTGCCGCCACAAAAAGAGCTGCTATGAATATTTTTATACATGTGGGGCCTTTTCTCATCTGTATGATCTCTTTGGGATATAGCCCTAGAAATGCTATTGCTGGGTCAAAGGGTATGCACATTTTTATAGCCCTTTGGGCATAGTTCCAAACTATTCTCCAAAATGGTTGAATCATGAAATAATATTTGTTAAAAAAAAATGCTTAATACGGTGCTTGGCACATAGTGGGAGTTATATAAATGCTTATTCCTTTTCCTCCCCACGACCAAAGGTGTTCAAGCAGAGACAGGATAATCCCTTGAAGGGAATGCCATGAACTAGATGGCTTCTGAGATTCCTTTCAAATTTAGGATTTTATCATCCCATACATATTAGAACTGGAAAGGACCACAAGAGATATTAATTCCCAACTACCTATTTTACAGAGGAGGAAAGGGCTACATAGAAAGGTAAAATGACTTGCCTGAGGTACAGCAGATAATCATAGTTGAAACTAGGACCTAGACCTACTTTTTCCCCAAAACCCTTCAACACATACACACACAAACAAGCACCTATACCCAGGGAAAATAAACCATAACTTCTGTCTTTCTGAAGAAGGCAGGGTTTAATACTAGAAAGTATTGCAAAGGACTGGAAGGGTTAGAAAATTAGAATTGTACGTAGAAAACCACAGTCAAACCCACCAAAACATAGTTTTTATTTTAAAGAGAGAGAGGATGAAAAAACCTATTGACTTAATTGGGACTATTATGTTGAGGGATGAGGGAAAGATCGGTGAAACCAATTTTTTAGTCTCCTGAAGTATTAATATGTCGGTAGAGTCAATTGTATATTCTAACTTAATTTTCCCATCACCTGGAAATTAGCACATCTGTCACTGTGAAAATTTTGTGTTGTTAAGTCATGTCTGACTCTTTGTGACCCCATTTGGGGTTTTCTTGGCAAAGATACTGGAGTGGTTTGCCATTTCCTTCTCCAGCTCATTTTACAGGTGGGGAAACTGAGGCAAAGAGGATTAAGTGATTTGCCCCAGGTCACACAGCTAGTGTCTGAGGTAGCTTGAACACCTTGGGGTGGGGGGAAGGGGAAGGACTTGTCTTCTAACTTTATAGGTGAGTAAATTGAGAAGCAAAGCAAGTGAGTGACAGGAATAATGAACCTGGGGCAATTCCCAAAACTACAGAAGGAATTCCTATATTGACTAAACCAGACATCCTTCCCATATGGTGTAATAGAAAGAACCCCGGACTCAAAGTCAGAGGATCTGAGTTCAAATACCAACACTATCATTTAATAGTTGTGTTGATGTGGTGATGGGACCTGGACCCTGAACTTTCCAATACATTTTCAGCTGCCCAGATCACTGGGGCCTCTGCCCAAATTACTTGATACTCCTTAATCCTATCTAGATCTTTTCACTGTTGCACCTGGCCCACCCCAGGCGATTTACCACTTCTTAATTCCATCCAAATCTTCTCAGTCTTTTTTGTATATAAATATCAGTCCCATCTTCATCAAATTCAAAGACTCACTAGGAACTCTGCCCAGTGTCACAAATAAACCTTGCTACTTTGACTGAAAGAAGGCTTGAGTGGTCGAATCCTTTCAAGGCAGACCTCCTGTACCCTTGCATTTTGGGGTTCTCAGCACCCCAAACCATAACAGTGTGACCCCAGACTTCCCCTCTCTGAACCTCTGTTTCCTTATTTGTAAAATGGAGCTATAATACCTATACTACCTGCTTCACAAGATTACCATGAAGAGAACGCCTGTTCAATCTTAAAGAGATAGAAATGTAGGCTATAATTATTTTCATAAAATCAAAGTTCTAGAGTTGTGAGGGAACCTAGAGATCTTTTAGTTTACAACAATCCAGAGAGAATAAGAAACAAAACTAACATATAATTATAATGACTGAGTTTGTCCCCAGAGGAAAGTTTTTTAAAGCATCCCTTTGCCATTCTTTGTACATGTGGTTGACTATGGGTGTGATATCATATACTCTCAATTGCTCGATTTTGCTAAATTCCTTTTTTTCCCCTTTTTTCATTCTTTTGTAACAGGGGGATAGCTCAGTGGGTAGAGAAAGGGATATGTTTGGAAAATGAAAGTGATATAAAAGCAAAAAAAAAAATTAAAGGAAAAATAGTGTTTTAGGCCCCAAATGTATCAAAACCAATTTTTATTAATTTATCATTCTAAATTCAAGAACCATTCTGCTTAAGGGAGAAATGTACAAACTAACATAGTGTCCTCATGTCCTAAGACATCCTTCTAACACAAAATATTTGAAGTAACATTGATAGTCATCTTGAGGAAGGCAAATTTTATACTAAGATAAAACACAGTTGCACAGTTTTGGATTAACATTCTACTTCCCCAGAATAGAACAAGAGTCAATGAATCTTTCAGGATGCCTCTAGTGAATCATCCTGATAAAACCACTCAATCTCTCTTAGACCATTCCCTTCAAGGGCTTGTCCCCTAGCTGGTCACTAGTGACCTGAAGTAGGAGGCCAATATCCCAATAGTCAATGTCGCAGTCCTTTCAGGAAATTGAGAAAGAGGGGACTGCCCTCAGGTCATTACTCTAATGCCTTCGGGTGGTTTAATCTAGGGTTCCCTACCCTGGCCCAGGTCTGGTCAGTTGCCTTGATTACTTCAAGGGAGGAGTCCTTGTTGCTGATTTCGAGAGCAAGGAGCCAGTTTCAGAATTGATAGTTAAAGAAAGACTGATAAGGTAATAAGTATTCCTCTCTCAGATTGGTCCAAAGACTTCAGATTAAGGTAAATTTAAAATATTTTCTTCATATTTCTAAAAGGGGTTGTCTGCTTCCACAATCTCAATTTAAAAAAAAAATTGAAGGCAAAAAAGAGATCTGGTCTAACCTCTTCGCTTTGCTAA